GCCAACCCTAGGGACCCTGGAGGGGATGGACCGAAGATAGTGACCAAGCCATTTGTCTCATGTCATCCCTCTCCAGCCTTCTACAAACCTTGGGCAGGGACACCACTCCTACCCCCTGGCTAATAGCACTCCATGGACCCAACCTCCATGACTTGATCTCACTTCCCTTTAAACTCTGTTCCAGTTCTAGCCTTCACAGCCTCCTGTAGCAAGGAGTTCCACAGGTTGACTCTTTGCTTTGTGAAGAACAACTTTCTGTTACTAGTTTGAAGCCTGCTACCCATTCCTTTCCTTTGGTGTCCTCTAGTCCTTCTATTATGGGAACTAATGAAGAACTTTTCTTGATGCACCCTCTCCACCCCACTCATGCTTTTATAGACCTCTATCCTATCCCCCCTCAGTCTCCTCTTTTCTAAACTGAAAAGTCCCAGTCTCTTTAGCCTCTCTTCATATGGGACCTGTTCCAAACCTCTGATCATTTTAGTTGCCCTCCCCTCTCCCAGCCTCTCTCTTCCCCTCTCCCACCTCCTTTTCCCAGTCTCCCCCAGTTTTGTTCAATAAAGACAGATTCTATTTTTGACCACACGTTTCTTTTATTTTGTACATCAGGAAGGGGGGCTAGAGAAGGGTAAGTGGAAGGAGATGAGAGAGGAATGGGGTATGAGCCCCCGATGGGGAGGACTGGGCTGGCTCTGCGGGCTTCTGGGGGTGGAAGCTCTCCTGCAGCCCCCCAACTGCCCCCTCTCCCCAGATGGCAGCCTGCGGCAAGTGCAGCCGGTCTGATGGCCGAGTGCTGTGATGTGCCCAGTGTGGGCACTCAGGGCACTCCAAGCCAGGACTGGTTTTCAAGCGGGGCACCCCTGAGAACTGTCTGTCCGGGGTGAGGGTCGGGTCCCTTTAAGCACAGCCCTCGGTTAGCCTGAGGCAGCAGCTCTACGCTCTAAGTCCTCATCTGATGCCCTGCCGGCACTGCTTCCGGCCATCCTTAACCCCGGTTCAGGGTCCACTTAATGTGGACATACTAGTTCGAATTAGCAAAACGCTAATTCGAACTAGTTTTTTAGTCTGGATGCATTAGTTCGAATTAGCTTAGTTCGAATTAACTAATTCGAACTAAGTTAGTTCAAATTAGCGCTGTAGTATAGACATACCCCCAGAGAGTTACCTCCAGAATCCAGGAAATGGGGACATTTCTCCTTCCCGTGGCTGCCTCATTGTCGAGTTGCAAATCTGACAGAAATATTCCCTCCTGCTTTCAGCCCTCTGTGGTCTAGTTGCTCCCTACTTGTCTGATCTCACATTCACTTCCTCCACCAGCTCTGGGTTTCTAATCCTCTTCTCTCTGTCCCCTCCTCCCTGCACAGCTTGGGCTCCCTCTAGCACCTGCTTTCACTGCCAGAGTTAATAATAGATACGGATGTTGCAAGTTATTTTCGATTATGTTGCTGGTACCTAATGGCACCACGAGGAGCACGAGAGAAAGGGGAAGACAAAAGAATCCTGGTTCTTGCCATCTACAGTTCCACTCCCATCAGTGATGAGGCAGGGCCCCTCTCGTGCCATGACCCGCAATTTATCAAGGGACAGGATAAACATGATGCGCACTAGAGGGGGAGGGAAGCCTCCTGTCTGTTCCTTCCCACTTTAACAGTAGCTATTTTAAGTGGGGCACTGCAACAGTCTGCCACCTGGAGTTGCCGACAACCTAACAGCAGAGATAAACAGGGGAAAGGCCTGACTTCTGCTCATGGAAGCCTCCTGAAAACAAAGTGTCACTTCCTTCAAAAAATAACAACAACCCCTCCCCCCCGCCCAGCTGCCTCAAGGTTTGATTTCGACAAAGCGACATGATACAGCTCAGCAGAGCAGATTAGGAGAGGGGGTGTGTGAGACCTGTTCTCTCTGGGGACTGTACCTCAAATCTGTCAGTCAGTGGCCAGTTATGGAAGTGTAGCAGCCCCACTGCAGGCGTAACTAAGCACAGCTGTGACCCGTGCCTGTGGAGCTCGCCCCTGCTTGAAACCAGGGTGTGCCTTGCCCTTGCAAACTGTAGCTTTACTTGTTGACAACCAGGGATCGGAGAGGGACAACTACGCATGGGGCTGCCTCTTAAGTGCCAGAATTGGGACATATTCAGCGGAAGTATGTCTCCAGTGAAAAATCACAGAGTGAATACTTCTCCCTACTGTAAGGGCACGTCTATACAGCAGGGCTAAAGCTGAAATAAGCTACACAATTTGAGCTGTGTCAATTGTGTAGCTTGAGACAAAATAGCTTATTTTGGCTTTTGGTGCTGCCTACACAGCAGGAAGTTCAAGAAAGAGCACTCTTCCTCCAACTTCCCTTACTCCTCGTAAAATGAGGGTTACAGGAGTCAGAGTGAGAAGTCCTCTACTTCAACATTATTTTGACATTATGTTGAAATAACTGCTAGTAGTGTTATTTTGGAATAACACTGCTGTGTAGACATGCCCTCGGTGTGCGCATATGGACAGGCCTATACAGGCAGTCCCCGGGTTACGTACAAGATAGGGACTGTAGGTTTGTTCTTAAGTTGAATTTGTATGTAAGTCGGAACTGGTACATATTGTAGGGGAAACTCTAGCCAAACATTTCTCCAGAGCTCAGTTTTATTCTCCCACACCTCACTTCCCTCAGTCCTTTATTCTCAAGCTGAGGTGTCTGCTGAGAAATGCCGCTCCGCGTCTCCCTGGTCTGCTGGGGGAGGGGGGGCGCTAGCTTCGTGTCTCCCTGGTCTGCTGGGGGGAAGCAGCTAGTGCTGGGTTGCCTCACCCCGTTTGTAAGTAGGGATCCGATGTAAGTCGGATCCATGTAACCCGGGGACTGCCTGTACTAGAAATGCTATGGTGGCACCACTACGCTGCTATAGGATAGACATGTTCTACAGTGACCGAATGGGGTCTGCTGTTGCTGTATTGAATCCACTCAGGAGGCAGTAGCAAAAGGCTGACAGAAGAATTTTCTGTGGGCCTATTGGTGTCCACACCAGAACTTGGCTTTACTTTACCTGGGGCGTGAACTTCTCCCGTCCCGAGTGTTGTTGCTGAGAGGACACAAGCACGCTATGGCATTGTCCGCTTCTTTGGCAACAAGGTTGTTTGTGGCAGTTCCTTTAGACACAAATAAAAAAAAGTATTTCTTGTAAAAAGTGAGGCAGCACTGGTGGCTGCACACTTTTCTGGCTTCCCTTGTCTATACTCTTCAGAAAACTAAGCCTCTCTTTGTTTTACATTAAAAATATCAGGTCTTGATTTCCCTGTTCATCCTGGAGAATGCAATGTTGAGACACCAACCTTTTGGGTCTCTTGAACCCATCTGAGCTCTCTGACAAACTCCAGCCTTTTATTTCCAAATCCTTCCTCTCCCGCCTAAATCATGTAACTGGCCGCCAGCAGGCGGCTGTGCTGAGTGCTGTCGCCTGCTGTTATCACTCAGCAGTGCTCCAGGTGAGCTCTACCTGGCCATGGAACAGAGGTCACAAAGATCCTGCCTTCATCCAGCCGCAAGTATGTTTCACTCAAGTTGGTCAAACAAAACAAAAAAGACCAAACTATTCATTGGCTCCCCTACACTTTCCCCATCTTTACTGCCACGGTCCAGGATAAGCAATTAGGACCATGTATCAATTGCATTTCTGTAAGAAACTGATAATTTAGAATTGGAGATCAATGATGAAGTTAGGGAGTTACCTTTGTAAATATGGACAGATGCCACAAACCATTACAGATGTGCATGGGAGTCGCTAGGCTACTCCTGTCAGATTGTGGGGGAATCAGGTCATGGCTTTGTTTCAAACAGACCAGGAAAGGTTGAAAGAACAAGGCAGGATTTCAACTAACTGCTGTACTCAGCAGTAAGCTCTCGTGATAGCTGCTTCCACCTTTCACTTGATACGATTTAATGATGAATAATAATGACTTTCATCACTAAGCAAGTAGATTTGGCAGCAGTTTCACCACATCTTACTTTTAGTCAGACAGGACGTATTAAAAGTGGATGAAATTGCAGCCCCTTCAATTTCAAATATATTTCTTGGTGTTGCTAAGTCAGAGCATGTGGAGAGTATACAGCAAAAATACAATTGGTGTCATATTTTAGGGTATGAAAGGAGTTTCTCTCTCTTTCTCTCTCTGTGTAAAAGATTACACTAGCCAGTGTTATTGGAACAGTTATTATAGCGGGGTCTTGAAGACGGAAACCATGCATTTGTGGTGGTGTTACTCTTTCAAGCGGGAGGCGGGAAGAGGCAGCAGCACTCCCAATTTCAGCATTTATTTCACCAGCAGAGCTAGGGGACACATTTTTAAAGAGGCAGGACATTTGACAAACCCCATTGCTGGCAAAAACAGCCAAATCTAGTCTGTTCAAAGTAAAACTTCCCGTTCTTAATGGCCTGTCCAAAGGCTCTTGGGCTGAGTGGACAAACTCCTGTTGATATTATTCGGGCATTTCATCAGGCTCTACATAGATGGAAAAAATTGGATTGACTTTTGTAATACTTTGGTCCACTGCTGGAACATTGCATCTGCCATGCGGGTTCCATCATACCGCTTTGGTCAGGAAATGGGACATGGTAGAGGAAGTGGAAATGAAGTTCCATTTCTGCAATGAACATAGTGGCAAGATCTCCTTAGGCTTAGCAGGAGAAAATTATTCCCTTTCAGCACTGAGAGAGGATGCACAATTCGGGCAGGGATAGATCTCAACCTAAAAGATTAAACGGAGGAAGAGACATGTAGAATGAAGCTGGTTTAAACCCTAAAAATACCATCATTAATTGCAGCAAAGGAATCATGTCCCATCAACTGCAATGCAACACAAACCCACCCATGTTCAGAAGAAGAGGGCCTCAGAACAGAAGGTGATTTTCAGGACCCTATTCTGCAACAGAATCCACACAGGAAATTCTGTGTGCATTACATGGGCACTCTTTGTGAGCAACAATATGGCAGTTGTAAGAGACTCTAGTCGTGTTTGCTACTATGGAACAATATGATCCTCCATGACATTATAAAGGGCAGTGTAAGATCAATAGTTTAATTCTCTTAATATTTCCTGTATCATAACATTAACTCTCAAAAAACCCCAGAATCGTATTTGTCACATGATAAAAGAATGATTTATTAGAGAAATTTTATGATAAAATTATATAAAATAACAATTTATTTTTAAAGACAGCCACAATATCACCTTGGAACAAAATGTACAGATACTGTGTATCATCAAAACAAAATAAATTACCATTCAAAAAACAAGAGAAAGAAATTCGGTGGGAGAAATATGAATAAAAATTATACACAACATTTCAAGAAGAGGGTGTGGGAAAAAGTGAGAGTCATTATTCAATTCAAGTCATACAAGTGTGTTTCAGCTTCTCAGACAGCTTGCATTTGTGTTGCATGCAAATGGAATGATCCAGTGAAGAGTTTAGAACAGCAGAATCGGCAGCATTAACAACAGCAGATAGTCAGATAGGCACAATTCAGCACAAGGTACATCCAAAGTAAACAGGTAGTTAACTTTTTATTTTTTTGCAAAGTCATTACACAGATTTGCTGAATTTTAAAAATATCTAGTGTGATCTGCAAAAATGAAGAAAAAACTAGTAGAATCTTGCATTTATATATTTTAAACACTTTTTTTCAGTAGGCTGTATGTAAACATTCTGTAACGTTTTTCTTTATTAAAATATTCAAGGATGACTGAGGCTTTATTCACACTCACAGCATGACCACAACACGACAGTACTGTAGACACGCTTAGGCTCTTGCTCACAAAGCACTGATGCATTTTCCTAGGAATTTACATTCACTCCATCATGAAGTCTGAAGAATTTAACATTCAAAAACAATCAAAATGAGAGCACAGTTTTCAAGTATAGTAAAAGAACTAGGGCTGAGATTTTCAAAGGTGCCTAAGGGTGTTAACATTCCCAGGGACATTCAGTAAGAATTGGGTGCAGAACCCCCTTAGGCCTCCTTGAAAAGGCTAGCCTAATTTTGTTCAATGTAAATACAACAAATATAAAAACAATATGCTGTATGGATGACAACTGGGTCAGTGGAGTACCATTTAAGCTCAGTGAAATTTAACCAATGACCATTGAAGTCCATAGGTTTCTTTTCATTGGTTCTAATAGCCATTGGATCAGACCCTAAATGGTTGTGAAATTCAAATCAGAGCTGTACATACACTTTTTTTTGTCACATACAGTACTGCTTATAAGACTGAACCTTGGCTGATAGTTTATAATCATGTGGCTTGCTCTTTGGCTTAATTTTAACAGACAAATGCAGAATGAGGTATACTTCAGATTAGTTAAATACCTCATATGTACTCATGTTACATTTCAGCACCCAAATGATTACATAATAGAACTGCAATTAAAATAGTCTTGAAAGAATAAGAAATTCATGCTGAGAAAAAGGTGTATTTTATCTTGCACTGAACAAATGAGTCCAAGTGAAACAAAGTCAGGTTATGCTTTTTCTCACCCCCAGACTAAAACTTTTAGAGATTCATGACTCCGGCTTTATTTCCAATTGTTTCTAAAAGGTACCATATTTCTAGGCTTATGCAACTGACAATGAAGCTATTTGGGTACCAAGAGCAGAGGACCAGCACAGGGAGAAAATTCATTTCTGATGGGTCACTTCATGAAAGGAGAAACTAGTAAGTTTCCAGGTGAAAGTAAGCGGAAATCACATCAAGGATATGTTGTCAAGAAACAAAACCAATAAAAGAGCATAGCCACGAGGGTGGGAAAATGTGGTAAAAAGTAAAAACAAATAAAAAGATGTGATATTGAGGAGCAACTCAAATACACACTTGTCTACTGCAAAACTAACTACTGGGCTGATCCCTTATGTTGCTGAAACTTTCCAACTTCTGATAAATAGGAGTCAGCACCTTGCTAGATCAGACCCTAACTAAGGAGACTTTTGAAAACTAATTACCATGTGTAAGGTGCCATACCACTATTTATGATCTTAACTAAGGACACAGGCAAGTATTTCAAAAGAATACACTGGAACAAGCAATCAGACAGCATTAACAGAATAGGCAGTCCAGAGAAATTTAAAGGCCAAGTTCTTAGCTATTCTACAAGGTAAATTTTAATTCCATCATCACAGTGTTCACTTTAAGTTTGGTTTATCTCTCCAATTTACAGTAGTGACTGAGCCATATTCTCTGTTGGCTATATTGCTAGCAAAACCACACTATTTCCCCCCATGTTCACAAGGCCCAATAGCACGGCCAACCAGCAAACTCTTCCTTTAGGACTGTGCCCATTGAAATCAATGGAAAACTCCCACTGGTGGCATTTAAAGCAGAATACTGCCATTTGCTAGTACACTAAACACTGTGTGAGCAGCAGAGTTATTTAATTATCTTTATGTAATTGACACATTAGCAAAATCCTAGGAGAAAAGGTCAATTAACTGTCCTCATTATGGATCTCCTCTGCCCCCCAAATATAAAGTCAGTACATAAAGAGCAATCAAGCTTGGGAAACTTATTTTCATTAGCAAAATTATACACTGTATGAGTAGAATTTAATTTGCTTACTTCCATCAATAAGAGTGTTTCCCAAAACTATGCAGATATATTTTCACTGTTTTTCAGTCAAGAGGAATTAATGCAACAGGGACAGATTTACAGTTTGCACACTCCATACATCAAATAGACTCTCCAAAAAGGCCCTCAAACACTCTTTTAGAAAGCCTTAATTGTTTAGAATTTTGGCAGCTCGCTTGACATATGGGACATAAAAAGCTAATTTTACAGTACACAATACATTGCTCAATGCTGCTGCAAAATAATCCTTAGTGTTCCTAAGATTCTAATAGCCCCAAAAGAGTCATACCAATGCTGCCTTGTAACGCCAGCTGCTTTACACTACTGAGTAGGTTCTCACAAATACAACAGGATGGTGTGTATACGAGCACATTTGGATATGAAAAATCTCATGACAACACTATTCGTAAAGGTAGAGCCACATCTAAGCCATTATTTTTGAGTGCTGTAGAGTGAATACTAGTTCCCAGCCACTGTGTAAGTTTATTACATGAACAAATGGAATAGATGCTTTTCTTAGCAATTGGCTGATCACAGACAACTTGCTCTTCAGACAATTCAGGAGAATTTGCAGCTCAATATGAAAGATTATTGTTATTATGAGGGCTTGACAAATCCGTTTATCTACTCGCCCGTGGTGAGTAGATTTCAGCCAGTTGCCCCGTTCACTGGCGGTGTGCGCATGCTCAGTGCGGGTCTGGTGAGTGGATTTCGCCACGGTTTGTCGAGCCCTGGTTATTATTATTACTACATTTTCCAAAAATGTGTTCAGACTGCAATTACACTGAAATAATGAGAATTTGACAAGCTCAACTATAAAAACTGACCTCAGTTATGAGGCTTATCTACACCTGTATATTTGAAGCTTTGTATCTGAAATATGTTCAAAATCTGGAACTACATTAGAAATTTTACACCTTCCCAATGGAAAAACAAAGGTTTTGTACGGAAAGCATGATGCACATAGATTCAAAGTGGTTTGTTATTTTTGTGCAAACACGGAAACCAATTTTGATACAACTACAATAGTGTTTCTTGTAGAAACCCACTCTAATGCACCATTACATTGCAAGTAAAGTTGATTCCAACAGAATTATAATGCTCTATTTTTAAAAGCAGTCAAAAATATAGTGACAATCAAAAAAGTACACTTTTTTTAAACAGAACCTTGTTACCACTGAACTACCAATAACTGAGAATACACAGGCTAATCCAAGAACACTTTAGAGCTTCAGCAATAGCAATGGAGGGAATGCAAAACCTGTTTCTTATGGCACACTGGAAGAATTTAAGTGAGTTGTAGTCTAAAAAAATCAGAGTTTGCCTCTATGCTGAATATGTGCTGCTCCACAGTGCTAGTCTTGTTCAAAAGAAATACATAGACTTGCCATTCACTCACACAGCGTAGATTGTGTGCGTGTGTGTGCGCGTGCAGTCTGTTAGCAATCTAAACAACTGCTCCATACGAATTGTCCACAACCACTCGGACAACAAAACTAACGCCACAGTAAATTACATATGATAGCAATATAAAATAATGTATCAGATCACGTATTTCTCTCCATCTGGAATGAAATTAGCATCTTGTAGGCTAGATCCACAGTTTGATTTCTGGATGTAATTTCTCATCTGTACTGGTGCTAAAGCCTCCAACGTGGAGCCAGAAAGGCTAGCAGTCCTGACTTTAGTGGTTGTAGACTGTGTAGCAGCAGAGGATGCTTTGTTAATGGCAACTACATCCAAGTTCCCACTGGGGTCAATGACAGCATTTATAACTGGGTAAGGAGAAAAGAGACAGACAAATGCACATTAGCTACACTCAGCAGCATTTCTACACAGAAAGTCTCTCACCTTAAGAATTCTAGACTCTTCTTGGGCCCAATGTAGTCAAAATGTATTCTTCCTTTCCATGACTGTACTCCACCTCCTCTATAATTATCCTCATGTCCAAGCAATTTTAATAAGCAAAATAAATAAAAATAAAAACCCCTCAAAAATTGACCTTTACCATTGGGACTTGAGATTTTCTGTTTAAGTTGGAAAAAGAGAAACGCCTATCTGACTCCAAACACTCTCCAATAAGACATTTTTTGCATTTTCTTAACTATTATGATACAAGGGTCAGGCATTGAGCGCATATTATTATCTCTATAACTGTGGTGTCCAACCACTTCTGAAGCAGTAGCCACTATAGCGAACTAGCCACACTCCACTGGTCAAAAAGCCACATGTGGCTAGTGTCTAGCATGTTGGACACCACGACTCTACTGAATGACACCTTCTATAATGGATTTAAATCAACACAAACACTTGCTTAAAAACAGTACGAAAATACGGCATGACTTATTGGCTGAATAGGGCTGCCAGTCATATGGCTGGCTTATCCATCTTGTGGTGAAGTCCTAATTATTGTGAACAAACTATTTCTACAGAAATAACTTCAGCATTTCAGAATTCAGAAACTTTCTTACATTTGCAACACAAGAGATAGCCATCACCTATATATCTTCTGTGTGTATGTATTGAGGAGCAAGCATGCATAAAATGAATGAGTGCCTCACATTCATAAACTTTAAATTGACAAAGCAAACCACAAGTTACAACAATATTTACTTTTTGTTCTAGTCATCTACATTTAGCAGAGAAACTGAGAACATTGTAAAATGACCAACCTTCGAGTTGTTTCTGAACTCTTCTTAGCTCTTTTAGGATAGAACTGATTTCCTAGAAACAAATACACCAAAAAGATCAGTTAACTAACCAATGACGCAGCTACTTTAGGATCCAAACCTACACAGAATTCCTTGTTTTTCTACCTTGTACTGATTCAGAGCTAAATATGAATTTACTTAATTTTCTCAAAATACAGGATAAACCTCTCTACTCCAGCACCCTTAGGACCTGACCAGTACTCTTAGAAGACATTTAGGGGTAAATTAGAGCTAAATAACAGCACAGAACACAGAGCCTAGCCTACTGGCTGTAAACAAACTTTATGGGACTGCAGGAAACTTGGCCACACCCATGATAACTGGACATCCTGCCTTGGCTCTGGGGCCACGCAAGCTCAGGGCTTCTACCCCCGCTCCTGGCTTCCCCCGGGCGTGAGGCTACAGCCCCCATGGCTTTTGCCTATGCTCAGGACATCTGACCTCATGAAACTGATCAAATGTAAGACCCTGTGGCTGTGAAATTAATCAAAGTGAACTGTGAACGTGGTAGGGCCCGAGCTATCATCAATGGAGCTGCACTGGTGGGAGACACTGAGAAGAGTGGTAAACAGACAAGATGCTGTGCTTATGCCTCCTTTAGCCAGCCTGGGTCCTTGAAGACTAATGAAGGGGAGACACAGGGGAAGTTGACATTAAAATAACAGTATGACGATATAGAATAATCACACCTAAAACAGGAGGAGGAGGAAATTCAATATATACATTTGGACTAATAAAAATGTAGGAAATAGGCTGGTTCTGAAGCTCACTGCTTTGGTTTCTTACATTTTTTTCTTACAATGGAAAATTATTTTATTGTGACCATGTGTCACTGTTATGTTTACATGCAAAGCTGAGGCTGGGACTTTCAGCAGAGTCTAAAAAAGCTTAACAACTAAATCCTATTAAAATTCAGTGCTAGCCGGGCATCTAACTGCTCTGACAGCCTCCGCCTAATTCCATAAATTGTTAGGCAAAGACTTGTCTTCAGCAAGTTTCTTGGCACTTTTTTATCAGTTAACACAAGCACATTACCTTGTTCGAGGTCTTTAAAATTGGCACTTCATTCTCTGAGTTAATTTTGGCTTCCATCTCCTCCCAGGTTCTTTCGCTGTTCTGAAACAGAATTCTGAAGCACACAAGATTGGGTCTTTTACAAAATGTCCACCAACAATGTATTTTCTAATTTGTTTACAGGATACAATTGGCACAAAGCATAGCAACAAAGGGGTTCTGTAGATTCGTGATGAGATCATGGGCCTTTCCTCTGCACTTTGAATCTCGCCCTCAAGCACCCGAAATTCATTCCCCAGATGCTGCCTGGTCTAAGGCCTAGGAGCTGATCATCTTGCTCCCAGAGCGTGTCATAACAAACACCATCAAAATATGTATACACAACAGGAGTTTTGGAATAGTGTTGGGATGGGAGGTGTCCATGGATTGCACAGAATAGAGAATGTACTCCCCTTCTTCTCATAGGTGAGACTTATTCCAGGGCAGGCTAAGATGCACAAATACAGAACAGGCACATACTCTGAGTAGCCATCATTTGGACACTGTCTTCCATGACAAAGTTAATTGTGTCATATACAATGAACTTTACACTTTTATGCAAACAACCTGACATTGCATTAGGAAGCAGGGTCAGAGCTTCAGTTACCTAAGGACAGACTATGCTACAGGACAAGCTTATGAAAACTGAACTAGGAACTAAAACCTTCTTTCTGCTTTGGCAGTATGCGCTGTTCTCCCAGGATAACAATCCTGTTCCTTTCATGAGTAATATATTAATCACACCCTTTCTACAAACAACTCAACAAGCAAGAGTAAGTTCTAGATCAAAGCTAAAAACTTACTTCATTTTTTCAGCCAGGTTTTCTGTATTTTCACGGATCGTGTGGGATAATTGTGACACCGGGTTCAACATCAGGTTGTCAAAGATTACCTAAAATGTAGCAGAGCGGATCATATTGAAAACGTGCCTTCATAGTTGCCATTTTTATATAATATAAGGGCGGTGTCAAAACAGTTCATTTCTTCAGATGGAGATGGTAACATGGCAATTGAGGCTTCCTGAATGTGGCTCATGTTTAGAACTCAACAGAGAAGAGAAGAGAAAAAAGCAGCTTTATTGCAGTACCTCACTGAGGGGATTAGCACTGATCTGTTAAGATTACAGAAAAGAGGAGAGGCCTGGGAGAATTATTTTCAGTCATAAAACCGTTCGAGCATTTTTTTAAACTCATCACTGAAGCCCTACCATGATTTTAAAGACAAAACCAGAAAACCCCCATTGCAATTGGTCAATGTGTTTCCCTACTGTAGTTCAAATCCAGTTTACTCACACAGAGTTAGCCTTGGAAAAGCAAGGTATGCTATACAAAAACAATGTACCCAGGCACTTTACCATAGGGTATCCATGGCCTTTTTAATGGAAGCTTTATATTCTCATGACAATCAGCTTAACCCATCTAACAAATAGCTCACAGCACACATCTTTTATATTACAGACTTCCAAGCTTTTGGGGGCCATCTTTCCAGTTTAGCTGGCAAAGACCCCCATTGAAATACCCGGTAGCCATCATGGCTTATTGTGCTTCTATCCTGTATTGTGGGGGACAGAATCTACAGAAGCTCATGCTTCACTGAGAGTTGGGTGAATACAATGAGTAGGCCATGGCAGGACACTCAACCCCAGTACAGAAGCTCATTAGGAAGAGCTAGGTTCTGCCACCCCTTAATATTATTTTGTTCTAGGAATGGTCTGTCTTACTACTGTACCAGCTGAAAAAGCAAAAGCACAAATATGGACTGGAGGGACAAGATTTTCAGAAGTGACTAGTGACTGAGGGTGCTGAACAAGGTTCCCTCTAAGCCGCGCAGCACTTCTCTCTCAGCTAACGCCTGGGAGAGACTCGCTACTCTGTCCTCAGCAGGGAGCTGCTGCTGTGGGTGAGGGAGAAGTGCCCCCCACCCACCTGCAGGCAGGCAGCTCTGTGAGCAGAACTTGGCAGGGCTCATTAAGCATCTACAGGACAGTTTAGAGGGAACCTTGGTGCTGAACGTGATGCCCCTTTCAAAAAAGGCCTTTTTCAGATAGTTCTGAAACCAAGCCTCTCTAAGGCCAGGTCTACATGTCAAGACCTGGAAGTTTGGGTTAAAGTACGCAACTCCAGCTATGTAAAATATGGAGCTGGAGTCGGCTTACCTTAAGCCAAGCTTGGCACCATCTTCACAGAGGAAGGCCGACAGAAGCAAACACTCCTGTGAGCCTCCCTTACTACTTGCAACTG